CAGAAACAGTGCTTTTCACTTAGGACGCCAACATATTTTTGCGTCAGGATGTAAATATCTCTGTTGTCCTCTCTGGGTCCCCTTTGTATATTACCACAAATCCTACTTAACTGAAATTCTTTCAGTTTTTGAGATTTATCTTTGACTTCTATGCAGTTTTGCTTTTATGGAATTACACTTCACAATTAGTTGCGTTCTTAAATTTAATGCTACTATCTTCACTGTTACAGGATCCTTCAGCAAAGCAACTCTATCGCTGAACATTCCAATATGAGCTCCAGCAGAGCTCAAACTGTCCATTTGTTTGTCAAAGCTGGAAATGATAGTTAATTTCTTAGCTACAGAAATTTAAATAGATATCTTTAAAGACTTTTTAGCCGTGTATATTTGTAGCCAGCATGTAAATTTGTCAGTATCAGTCATGTTTTTTATCAAATATACGTTGTGGCATTATAGAAAAGAAATATGGAACATACCATTGCATTGAATAGTTTAATTTTAGCCCAACAATGTCAATAACAAGGCACAAGCTCATTGTAGTGGCACTTCGAGCCATCTGACATTAATTCTGTAATTTTTGTTTTGTCTCCTTAACAGTACAAGTATTGAGAACAGAAGATCTCCTGAAAGTGCAAGGCCAGTGAGGACTTACACCCCATTCAAGAGAGTGTTGGAATTTAGCACAAAGAACAGTACGTCTTGAGCATTCAGGTCAATGTGCTTTCTAAATACAGGCAAATATTTTGCGCCTTTGCAGCTTGATTAGATACATTTTTATCAAGTCATAAAGAAGAACAGCAGCATGGAGTCTTGCTAAATTTATCCTGAAAGCAGCTTTTTAGTAGCTTCATATCTGAAGTTACTACGGACATTAACTGTGTGGGAGATATGCAAGAAGAGGTATAAATGAAACGGCAGTCATTATTGCTTCTTTAGAAGCTGTCTAGTGCAATGTCATTTCAAATAACTGTAAGGAAGGAGTTGTATAGCTGTACAGATTTTCTTCAAATGTGTTCTGTTTGTATAATGAATCTCTAATATATTTTATTTTCAGTACTGCCAGGGGAAGAATCTGAAACTACCCTGACAGAGGGCATTAATCTGAAAGCTCTCCCTTTGTGTACGAAGTGTGAGGGCTGTTCATTTCTATCTTAGAGACCTGCGGAGATTGAGGGCTCCATTCCCCTGGAATAGATTCACTAGTAACCAGCACTCGTTTGATGGAAGGGGATGCAACTGGGCTGTTCTCAAAGAATGCCCTCAACACATGCAGATGAATGTCATGTTTGTTGCTCAAAACAGTAAGTGATAGAGCAGCTTTATGATGGGCTTTGCTTTGTTTGATGAGGCACTGGTTTGTACTTGCCAGTCATGGGGTAGAGTGACTATTGGTTTTACATTCAATAGGAATTGTGTAGGATTTTTTTTTTTAATTACTTTTGCATTAGATGAAGGAATTCTCACTAAACAGCATTTTGCCTACAGCAACTTGTAGCAGTTTCTGCAATTCCTATAGCAATAGCAATTCTGAATCGGGATTTTGATCTTAAGTAGTTTGTTTTCCAAAACGCTTAAAATCTTATCCCTGTCTTCAAAATACCAGCAGGAGTTACTGCATCTACTACTGAACTTATTTAAATATATATACTGTATTTTTTACATTTTGTTTAAATCTCCTGCCTTTACTGAACTAAAATGAATTTATTAGTATTTTCTTGTAGTGCTATTAACATGAATGCAGGGCAGACTATTTTTTTTTATTACAGTAACTGCAATAGAAAACAAAAAACTTAGGTTCTGTATGACTAATACTGTTCTTGCATTGAATGTCAACCCCAGAGGTATTCACCGCCACAAGGTTTCAGAGTGATTGCTTTTGTCTCCAATTAAATGCAAGTTCTTAAATTCAGCAGTCTGTTAAAATTAAATATACTCAAAGTTGTACTTAAAATAAGAAAACTCACCTCATAATCCCAATTTTATTCCTGCATTATTTCATGGTTTTCTGAATTTGTTAGTTTTGTTTATTCTATAACTGTGCTGTTTAACTAGTAAATGAAGAAGCCTGGATTGGAGGATGTTTTGATGTAGTACATCACAGGAATGAGAATTGTGTGATGTAATTAAAGCTCCAGCTTTTATGCTTAGATCATCCTCTATTTGCATGTAAGTTATTTTTTTCTCTTATGACATGTTCAACTCTTGAGGACTTAGAATGGTTCTTACTTTTTAGAAAGTCAAACACAGTACTGTGGGCTGTATTATGCATAGAATTCAAGAGAAACTGCAATCAAAGTCATTGACAAAAAGGTAAAATACCTACTGTGTGAAGTAAGCCTGTAATCTTTATTGGGATGGAATAGCGTTTCTTTTAAAGAGAACAATGCATAATTACAACAAGTTAATAGCTATAAAGGAAACTCATTTACTTTGCATGTGATAAATGAGTGAGAATGATCTCATAGGTATCAAAAGGCCAAAGAAAATCCCAGCTGTTGCATTAGTGAACAGAAATAATACCACACATTTGCTTAATTTGCTTACCTCTTTTAGGTGTAAAACTTTTTTTTTGAGCTAGAAAGGGCTTGAAGAGAAGGTCCCTGAGAATTAAGTCAGCTGCTCCCTATCAAAAGTCCTTCAGAGGAAGTACTCTCATTATGCAAAGCAGAGGAATAGTCTTATAGTCTTGCACCACAATACCAATGACAAGAAAACAGCTGTAGTCTTAACCTGCATTTTTGATTGAAAGAAGTTTTGGTGCTTGAGTGGGTTTGAAAAAAGTTCCCAAGTAACAGTTAATTTGATCAATAACTGAGTTAGGTCATGAACAGCCAAGATCTTGAACTGAAACTCTAAATGAGAATATATTTAAATTGGAAGTCTATGTTGATGAACCTAAAAGATGATGGGTAATGACCCAGCCCAAATTTCAGGCACAAGCTTTGTACATGTGTATTGTATCTCCCTCTAGTGGATGATAACAGCAAAAAGATTTGCTGATATTTGGACAAAATCAATTTTGAAGAGAAATACTAGAGACTAATCCTGTCTGTTCATATTAATATCCATAAGGGATGCAATCTCAGGTCATTGCATAATGCCTGTTACCATTTTATGTGCCCAAAAAGTTAGATTGCATTTCAGAATTTTAATTTTGAACCATGGTTGGTGAGTTACCATCAAAACAAAATGAATAGATGAAGGCTTTATTTATAGATTAATGAAAATGCAGGTTGTTGTAAAAGAAATACACAGACTGGAAATTTTAAGTGTTATTTCTCTGTCTGGTTTTGGCCAGAATTCAGAAGACAGAACCTGGTTACTGAGGAGCTCAGAGAACGGTAGTAGAGACAAGGATGAATCAAGATGCTGTTCTAATGCAGTCTTCAAAAGGAAGTTCTCTCTGTTTTTAATAGATTTCTGAGTATCTCTCTGAAAATATTGCAGGATATTTGAGATTTGCAAAATTATAATCATCTGCTCAAAATTTTGCCAAGACTGCAGCAATCTTTCCTGCAAAAGTGTTCTGTGTAAACTGTCTTTGTTATTTGATGACAAATGACATTTTTTCAAAATCTAATAAGGATTGAAGTTTATGCTGTATTTTAGAGCATTTTGATATTTAGTGAGATGTATGACCATTATTTGATTGGACTATTAGTCTAAATTTGGTAACTGTGAAGAAAAGGAGAGGAACAGTATTTATATAATTGTGTTACATGAAAATATAGAGCTTTCCAGTCAAATCAGCAGCCATGTAAATTAGCAGAAATAATAACAAATCTGACTGAAAAGACTGTAATGCTTCAGTATAATTCTTTTTCAGTTTGAGATTGGATAACTTAGTACTATAAGACTAGAAACTAGTAAAATTTCTGTAAACATCAATAAAAGCCATATAGTTAAGTACCAGAAAGTGCATTAAATGTAAGTCAATTGTATGACTTCATTTGTACCATGGTAAGTGTTCTACTGTGATTCCAGATCTTCTGGAAAGTATTTTGGGATACAGTTTTCATATATGCTGTATAAATACTGCAATTGAATTATATGCTTTTAAAACATCCTGTATGTAAGACCTGAAAAGGTTAAATTGCAATAAATATTGTATTTAAACTTTTTGTTCTGTTATATAAACACTCTGAAATAAACTTACCTTTAAACCTTGAAAACTCTTACTCTACATAATCGTGTTTGTTCAAAACATGTATGAATGCAAAAGTGGTTACTCTGCAGCCTTGACGTTCTTGTCAGTGTTTCCTTTGGCAGATGTGCTCCTGAGAACAGGAAGACACTCCCTTGCTAAAGACTAAAGACTTCTCAAAGCCAAGTAAAAAAAAAGTAGACAAACTCTTTTATGAACTAAAGAACTATTGACGTGCACAGGATAAACAAGAACTGGGCAATGTAGCACTCACAAAAATAACAAAAATCTTCAGATCCCACAGATAACATCTGAACACATCTGGGGTGATGCTCTCCAACTTTAAGAGGAATACGATTGGGATGAATGTGGCCCACTTTCTTTTCTTTCTTTTCTTTTTTTTTTCTTTTTTTTTTTTTTTTTGTTTATATCCATTCATTGATGATAGCAATTTATCTTTAAGGCAATCACAGTTAAGCAAGCCACGTCAACTACTTAAGAAGAGGTTTGACAAAAATGACAATTACAGTGTTGCTGGTTTGTGGTGCTCAGCTGTAGAATGTGAAGGTTTTTACTTGACTAATGCTTCCCTGTGTGTGTACTCAGAAGAAATTGCCAAAAGCACCTTGTAAAATCTTGAGATCGACAATGTTCAGTGCTGAAACTAGAAAACGGGATTCTGCAAGTTGCAGTCTACAGCTTTTGGGAGAGGCTTCAAATCCTCATTTTGACATCCAAAGGCTTTTACACATGGATGGGTAAGCAGATAGGTAACAAGTTAGTACTTTCTACATTAAGTCTGTAATTCTGTACGGGAAACACCTGCTTCAAGAATGGAGGTGTACATGCTGAACTATTTCATTCCACTTGCATTTTATTTCATTCCTATTCAGCACTTGGAGATTTTTGTATGTAGAAGAACAAATGTGCTTAAGAGTCCTGAAGAGTTAAAGCCCTTCCAACTCTAGTTTCACCACTAGAACATGGAAGAAGCACGGGAAAACAAGACAAAGGTGGTAGAAGTCATCTATAACTTCAGGTATGTGAAAACTTCCAAAAATAAGAAGAACCTGGTGGATTAAAGAAAAAAATATGTAAAAATGTGCACCTATGAGTTTATAGTATTCTATAAAGGTGTGTACGGTCTGTAGACACACTACAACAATTTGAATTGCTTCCCAAATGTAAACCACTACACTGAAAGGTATGAGAAAACATAGGATAGCCTTTACAATGTTTTTGTTTTGTTTTTAGAGAAGTAAGGTTAAGGAAGGAGTTTTTTCCTTTAAATTAAAGAAAATAAACTATTACAAAGATAAATCATGCTGATTTTAAAAATTCATTTTAAAAAAAAAGTGAAATAGATAAAATAGCACCAATATTTGGACTGAAGATGAATCCATTATTTCGGGAGTGGTTTACACTGTGGAGTTTGATTCTACCTCCCCTGCCCCGCACTATTTCCACCTAGCACCAGAGAAACTATGTTACCCGTCTCAAAGCCTAATTTCTAAAGTGAGGATACAGAATGATCAATCATGATCCCAGCAGTCATGCTACTAGGACACTTTACCCTCTTCATCTTCTGTTTCCTTTTTCTGTGTTTATGCAGGTTAGCAGATAAACTAACTCACCAGCGTCACTTTTCTGCATATGTAGTAACAGCAGTTGAACTGAGATGAGCCATCATCATGTGAGTGTAGAGCAGATGTCAAATAAGATTTTTCCATTTAGACTCACTTCCACATGGGCAGAAGCAGTTTCCATGCCCAACCTTCCCTTTTTGTCCAGTGTGCGCAGGAGAAAGAGGCTAAAAGGAAAGATTAAGCATTCCTTCTTGCAAGCTGCAGAAATGCTACGTAGACAGCATAATTTAGGATGGCATTATAGAGACAGCAACTCGGAGAACTTGTGTTCTACAACTGAATGATCGCCTGGTAAGGGGAAAGAAAGAAAAAAAAAAAAAAGATTTTTTTTTCCTCTTCACTGAACTCTTAAGGAAAATTCTCTGAGTGATTTTCTTGGGAAATGATTCAGGTTGTACATAGCAGGCAGCAAAATGTTCCCTTCAACTAGGCACTTAACTTGTTTTTTCTCCCCCTGGTCGTGGTATTTTTCCATGGGTAGCTGCCTCCTTGATTAATCTCATTTCCCCTGGTCCTCAGCCTTCCCCTTCACCTTCCAGCTGAGCAAACAAAGGGCCGGGCAGCCATTTTAAAATGCTTCCTCCTCCATCCCTGCGGGACAGGCCTCTGGTCATCCTGTTTGTGAAACAGCTGCTTTAGCCATCTCGGAGAAACGTCTCTGCGCTGTGACACGCACCACGGAGCCTCAGCTGGGATCCACTTCAGCGGGCCCAGCTCTGCCTCCTGGGAGCTGCCGTTTGTAAGGACCTCAGCGCTGCTGGATGGAGGGGACCTGGCCTTTGTGGCGCTGAGGCAGTGGGATGGAAGGGACATGGTGTTTGTGGCGCTGAGGCAGTGGGATGCGGGGAGGTGAAGGTTTGGTGATAATTTGAGTTTCTCTACTCGCTCTCTGCGTTATACGTAAGTGCGTTTAAACACCGCGTAGAAAGAGAAATTGTAACAAAACCCTGAAGGCTGCACCTCGCGTGCTAAGCAGCTCCCTGCACCCTGCTGAAAGGCACCCAGCGGGCGGGCAGCGCCAGGCGTTAGGTAGCGAGCACGGCGGGCAGGGCAGGGCGGAACGCTTCGCCCCGCCTTCGCCTTCCTCCCAAGCTTGGCCCTGCCGCCCCGCCGTGGCTTCCGCCAAGATGGCGGCGCCCAGGGGGCGCGGAAGCGGCGGGCATGGCGGCGGCGGGCGGCCTGCGGGGCCGGAGCCTGGGCGAGCTGCGGGAGATGCTGAGGCGGCAGCGGCGGCTGCTGGCGGATCGGTGAGCGCGGCGCCGGGACGGGACGGGCGGGCGGGCCTCCCCGCCGCCTCCGCGTAAATAAGCGTCTCCTTTTCTTGTAGGAAATTCATCGCCAGGCTGCCCGATAAGGGTCAGAAGATCGCGGATTTCGCCGAAAAGCTCCAGCTGGCCGTCCTGCAGGAGGAGGAGCTGGCGAGGACGGCGGAGCTGCTGTCTGCTGTCAGGCTGGAGCTCCGCGCAAACCAGGAGAAGGCAAACGCGAGCCAAGAGCAGGCTGCCCCGCAGGACACGCTGAGCCGAGAGCAATCCCCAGCCCCGAGCAGGAACCCTGCTGGTACAGAAGCTCCCGAGGTGCCTTCCCGAGAGCAGGAGGCCGAATGTATTGGGCAAGGGGCCACAGAAACAGCTGTAGGAAGTCAAAGGACTCTGGGAGATGATGATAAAATAGAGACTGTTCCCAAAGATCAAGGTCTGCTTAGTGAAGCTGTCTCCCAGCCAGCTACAAGCAGTCACATGAAAAATGATTGTCAGATATCTCAGAGCAATGCTGACGATGGTGCAGGGGGTGCAGGTGCTACAGACAACAACAGAGATACGTTGGTTGATGCCTTCCAAAAAGTTACTATTGCAGATGGTGATAATAGTGAAAAAGTTTCAGAAAAAGAGCAGAAGGTGGCTAAGCATAAAGGCAACATCTTTGGAAGTCTGCACCCCAAGACACCGCATTATATTGAAGTTCTAGAGTCTAGAGCCAAGAACCCGGTCATAAAAAGAAGCAAATTCAGAACAAATGTGTAAGTATTATTAGGAAAAAAAAAAAAAAAGAAATAATTGACTTGTGTAAAATTGGAAATGTTGCAGAAGAAGCATGGTGAGTTTATTTTCTTGTAGTGATCAAAGGGATTTAAAGCCATATGTTAACATACTGGCTCTTTAGCATTAAGTACTGCACAGCCTCAATACTGAATGGTGATTTAATTCAATCAATTTGGTAAAAACAAAAGTCATCGATCTTCTTAAGCTACAAAACTCTTAAACAATTAGCAAACTTTTTTTCTGAATTGATTCTAGAATTTATAAAACATTAACAGCAGGGGGCCTTTTGCTTTTCCTGCATCTCTACAGAAACAGCAGTTCACGTTGTATTGGCAATAGTAACAATTTCTATTTCCTTGGACTCCTAAAGCATTGCTGTTTGGTGCTTGCCAAATCAGTGGCCTACCTTTTTTGTTCACCGTCAGGAGTAACTTGTGATATTGTTTATCTGTAGAGATGGTGTATACATGTATTACTAAGGAGAAGATTGATCTTGTTATTTATTTGTGGATGGCGTCACAACACTCCACATTTTCTTTCAACTTTTTTACTCTTGCATGCTGAAAATAAGTTTTAGAACTGAAGCAGTTCAACCTTGTATTTCAAACATGGGTCACAGCTTCTGTGTTTTATTACTTGTAGATTATCAGGAGAGCAAAGCGGATCATCGCATGGTTCCTCATCCAGTCAGTCACCTGGGGGAGCTGGCTCTCCAATTACTACTGAAGAAAGACGACTTCGGGATAAGAAACATTTGAATGACATCACAGCAGCTCGGCTACCACCACTTCACCATGCCCCTGCTAAGCTATTATCCATAGAGGAATCCATAGCAATTCAGATACAACAAAAAGAAGCTTATGAGGTAAGCATTTGTGATTTAGTTTGAAAAGTAATTACTTAATTACTACACACGCACACAAAAAATATATATAACATCTTTGATACTGTTGAATTTGGTGATGAAATTGAGATTGCCAGACTGAAGAAAAACACTTTTTCTTGTATTTGAATTTCTTAAAGCTGTGATTAAAAAATGTATTAATCCCTTCTGAAACTGCTGTTCCTGCATTAATGAAAATTTATTGTCACACTTCATGTGCAGTTACGTTAACTTCATTACAGTCTCTTTACCTCTAACTAGAAAGTATAAACCTTGCCTACTAGCCTTTAATTTGCTTTCAGTCCTTCCAGAAATGAAAGACCAGTAGTGTTTGGTATTCTTAAAATAAGCAAGTAGCCGTATTTGCCTTAGTTTATGCTGTGCCTGAAGAATCCAAGTTCTGAAGTTCTTCAATGTTAAGGGAATTTCTTGCTAAATTCTCTTCTAATGGATTTTGATTTTAACTTTCTGGGTGATGCTGAGCTAATGTTTCAAACTAGACAGTACAGTAAAAGTGTTTGTTGCTACTTACTGTTTTACAAGCACTTGCTAATATAGTCTTCTTGATACTTCAAGGGAGCTAATTTATTTGTAAAATGGATTTTTTTTTTCTGGGGTTGCTGAATGAAGAGCATTGCTATTGCTACATGGATACTGTACAAGTCTGCTATATAGACTGATTTTATTCTGTTAAAGCTGTCGTAAGTACATCACAGATGAGGACTGCAAATTTTCGGCTTTTTAACTCAAAAAAAAAGTCAATCTTCAGATATCAATGGCACAATTATATACTAATGTAAAAAAATTTTTCATCAGTTACTAGAAATTTTAACGTCTACTGTGACGTTACTGATATTATTACGTTGAGTTTCTCCTCTACTATATTTGTTTGATAAAAATGACAAAAACACTTCTTCTAACTTTTTTTTTTTTTTAATAGGAAATGCAAGCCAAGCTTGCAGCACAGAAGCTTGCAGAGAGATTGAATATAAAAATGATGAGCTTTGAACCAGAGGGGGAGGCCGCAATGCAATACAGAGAAGTGAGAGATGAAGATTATTTTTCAGCAGAGGACTGAATTCAAGAAGGGATGTCTGAGGATGAACCATGTAACTGATCTTTCTGCAGTACTTAAAACCCGAACGTGAATATGGAGAGTCATTGATCTAGTCAGTTATTTCTGAAAATTTTAACATTACAGCTGTGGGAAGGGTTCTTTATAAACCTTATATTTATAAGTGTTAAGTGGCAACCCCAAGTGTTATTTGGAGACCTTTTTAGGAGCACTTGGGGCAGTTAAGCCTTGTGAAAAGTCTAATAGTTTTCAACTATAGTAAAACAAGCTCCTTAACACACTTTTGCAGGCTATGATGAAATCATCTACAAGAGAAGATTTCTTCTGTGAAGAAATGTGAGTGCAAAGGGCATCATAACTCATATCTATAAAGTTAGCTAAGGTGCCTGTGAACTGCTGGATGGAAACTGCATGTATGAAATGTATGCATGTATGTCTTGTATAAATGTAAGATACTTCCTCTATTGAGGCATAAACTATTTAAGATGATCTTGCTTTTACCATATGGTGACAATACATGCCTGGTTAACTAAGTAATTTGCAGCCTAACTATCACACACTTACCTTCTTATCACATGAGAACTTGTTTCTGTGCCCATAGCTTAAAATAACACTTTTTGCCATTGTACTGTAAATAGGTACAAAATTTCTTTCTTTTCTAATTCAAATAAGGGATTCTGCTATTTCATTTTTGGAGATTACTGCAAAGCACATCAAGAGATCAAGTTAATCTGAAGACTTTAATGTTTTTATTAAAGGCCTCAGTGTTTTTCCATATTTTTGTACAGTGCTTTCAAACTTTGGAATACTATTTTTTCATAGTTTGATACTGTAAATTAACAGATCCACCCTCTGGTTTTCTTAGAGAAAATAAGTTCTGTGTATTTTGCAGATCTATCTGTTCTTTGAAGATTAAAACAAAAGTCTTCCTTACTCTAACATTTTCTGCCTTTCATTATGAATTTTGCAAGGTTAGGAACACAAATGAGAGGTATTGTGCAGTGATGTTACGCTGCTGACTAGCATATTCAAACCCTGTTATGAGTTCATTTTAGTTTAAAACAGAACAAAACAAAACAAAAAACCAACAAACATTCTCAGATTCCATGTCTGGCCTGGCAAAACCTGTTTTCTGAGGTACTCCAGCAGCAATGCATAAGGGGCAGCTCTATGTGAAAGGCTTCCCCTGTATGTGAACATATTCCTGCAGGAGTGGTGTCCCTGGAAACCAAGATAGGAGGCATTCAAAAAGCTGCATAATATCATTTAGAAAAGGAGGCTGAAAATCCCTACTACTTCTTGAGTGCATAAAGAAGTTAATGCTATCAACAGCGCTTTACAAGCAGGCACTTACTCTTTTCCAAAGACTGCATAAGCTCCTAAGTAGTCCCTGTGGTACAGTCCATGCCCTGGCACTGCAGTTTGACAGGCAGAACTGCTGCTAAGCTAATACGTGGCTTTTTTTTTCCGCTATGTCATCTGTGATGCCTCTTCCTATACCCTTTCTTCTCACTGTATTCTTTTTCTAATTGTTTCTTGGCTTCTGGACTCTCTGCTTTTCCCTTCTCCTCATAAGACTCATCCGTTCCTAAGAGCAAGTTCATATTCTACATCTGTACACCTATTCCCTTTTGTATCACATATCACGTCCAGCTAAATGCGAACATATTAAACTTACGCCATGTGTCGTGCATCCTCCTGCCATTGTTATCTCCTCTTGCTTTCTGCGGGTCCATCTAAATAACCAGCTGTGTACCCAGACACCTTCTGTGTACCTCAGTCACTTGAGTATCTTGTGGAGACCTGAATGTCTGTGTTTTCTGCCACAGCTGCTCTCTTACTGAGGCTTCTCATGCTTTCTCATTTCCTATCTTGTTTTCAGACTGCAGATTGTGCTGGTGTTTGCCACTTCCAGGCCTTGTGACCTTGTCCTTACCACGTACCTCTCCTGCTGAGTGGTTGGTTTGTTTGTTTTTGTGCTCCTGCTTCATCCTCATGGCTTCTTACTGTCA